TATATATATATACACATGTATATAAGTATACAAACAAACAAACATACATACATACATACATACATACATAATTACGGAGTGCTTCGCACAGCGAGGTTGTTATGACACGGAACCACCCTGGCTCTTTGAGCCCTGTGTTTCACAGTAGGAAAAGCGCACAATCAACTAATCATAATCACCGCATCGAGCGGAGTGGATGTGCAGGGCAGGGATGCCTGGCACGGATGCCCATTGCACGGCTGATATGAGTTGTCGATTGGTCGATCGCAGAATGTACCAGAATATGTCTGCCAAATACTGGAAATGCAGGGCAGTCTAGATGGGTGGACTTTTACTTCGGTCCGATTTTGTCCCCTTTTTGGCCTGGTTTTCCTTGCTTTCATGCCTTGGTCAACTCGCGGCATGCCATCATTCGCATTTGCAGCACATGGTGCAAAATCTGGTCACCGCGTCCTATAATTTACACAGGATGCTCCCCGCGCGAGTCTCCCGCTGCGGCCGGTGCATACGTTTCGCTGGCTTCTGTTACTTACAGAAAGTTCCATGTGCTGCAGGCGTGTTTCGTTGTAAATCAAACAACATGAACCACCTTTGCTTGTGGAAAACCCACAGTAATACTTGCGGGAAAAGGTTTAAGGTCTTCCTCTAGATTCCTCTAGATTGGAGAAAGCATAAGTCCTGTCTTTCACGCACCAGTAATACGATGTGTATGTATGTGTGTATATATATGTATATATATATGTCTAAACCGTCATTACAAGCAAACTTGTGTACTCTTTCTTTATAGTGTGTATACCCTACATACATATTGGTGTGCGTCGGCGTGGGGGCCGACATTCTCTGAGTAAACAGGCCTTTTGTGTATACATTTTTGATTCATCTTTTACGGACTTTCGTGTCGATGCAACCTAACTACATATACTACATGTGGCATGCTGTGCGCAGATTAGTTAACTATGCTTCATATCATGACAGTTAACAGCACTGTCATAATATACGGCCGCAGAGCTACGATGAGTATGCAAGCCACCCGACTGTATTGCAAATGATGTACAAGCTGCCCACTCATGTCAGGCATTGGATGTACCACCCATCTTCTCGTATCACGATGGCCCATCACCTCCTATTCAAGCTTTGGGTACGAGGCGTTGCTTTTCCAATACCATTTGTGGCTTATGACATCTTGTCGCATGTTACACCAATGCATACATGAGTTGCCGAAACAGCCTCCGGCATGCATCATTATCATCATTGTAGCATGTCATGATACCTTGCAGCAGTTCAGGTCACACTGTCTGATCCGGAAAACAAAGCAAAGCGTACCCCCGTGGGTATGGTTTGTAGCCTGTGCAGCAGCGATGGTACGGAGCGCGCCCGTCCACATTTCCAACTACATGGAGTGCTCCCCCCGCCTTTTCGACAAGTTTGCGTAGAGCCTCGTCGACTTTGGCCAAAGTATCTTCCTGCTCCTTCAGGTCTCCAGCCCCCATCGAATCAATCGAGACAGGCAGCGAAGACACTGCGCACACGAGAGCATCCTTGCTCTGAGCTGCACTGCGATTCAGCTTGACATCGAGGTTGTTTCTTTCCGCCTTGGCCTTAGCAGCTCACGATTCCTTGATGCAGGTGTCGTCGAGCCAAGCTGAAAAACTTCACCGGCCGAAGCATTGACGTGCAGAACAAGGTACGTGTTCGACAGCCTGATCGAGCTGCGCAATGTACAACAGTGGCTTAACAAAATTCCGCAGGCACACCTGCCTCCAACAACTCATCCTGCCGAGCCGACGCTTTTAGTAAGCGCTCGGAGTGGTTCATCGCGGTCTGCAGGAGGCAACCGCACTGCTTTGCCATGCATGACAAGACGAACCCTGCCACCCGACCCAAACATTTCAACAAGGCCCGATCCTCACATGAAACTGTTTGACGTTGCTCCAGCGAGAATGGGTAGTTTGTGTTTGTCTGAAGCTTGAAGCTACCCTTCGATAGCAGTAGTAGCGATAGTAGTAGAAGTAGTAGTAGTAGTAGTAGTAGTAGTAGAAGTAAAAGCAGAAGTAGAAGTAGTAGTAGTAGTAGTAGTAGTAGTACTAGTACTAGTACCAGTACTAGTACCAGTAGTAGTAGTGGTAGTAGTAGTAGTAGTAGTAGTAGAAGTAGAAGCAGAAGTAGAAGTAGAAGTAGTAGTAGTAGTAGAAGTAGTAGTAGTAGTAGTAGTAGTAGGCACGCCCCCCCCTACCAACTACAC